TCTTTTTCACATTCATTTTACCTTTCTAAGCTTATTTTTAAAATGCAGCATTGTCCCCCCTAGTCTCATAACTGTGGCACGTTGAAGATAACGCGGTAATAAAAAAAATTAAGAACAGGATGTTCTCCTCTGTTCGTTTCCATTCTCGACACAATCTTAAGTTTGAATGTCTCTATTTGAACAACGAATGACACAATGAGGTTTCTATCATAAAACATTAAGTTACATTACCTGCAGACGGAAAAACAGCGACGCAGAGTAAACCCAGAAACACAGTGAGAAAAAACTACACATTAAACACACCCTCAAATAACCTGTTTTACAAGAGATTAAAAACAAACCACAAGCCAGCAGAGAAATGAAGGCTGGTGCTTCATAGAAGTAGCCTGCAAAATATTTCAGTTGTGTTTTTTTACAGGTTACTATTAAAATTCTGAAGTAGATATATTTAAACTATGGATCATTGTCAATGCATTCACATTTCCAACACCTACTAAAAAGGCCAAAAACAACAAAAACAATTTAATAAGTTGTAGCTGGTTTTTGAACATCATGCCTGACACCTGCTTTTTTTCAGAGGAGAGGATTGTCTGTTTGTTCACACTACTGAGAGGTGGTCTCTATACCTTTAATGTTCATGCTGAATCTGTCAACATTTCAGATGTTGAATGTCAGCATGGGTTTCAGTACAAATAATTATAACAAAATAACTCATGTTTGTAAATCACAGATTTTTGTCTGTAAAAACTTCTTTTAGGTGGTCATGAAATAAACAAGTTGTTGATAATAAGGAGCGTAGCTGACCTGATTGACAGACGGGGGGCGTTGTAGCTGTTCGTCGGCAGGCTTAAAACCCGCCTCAGCTCTTAGCCTGTCGTTAGGTTGAGACAGCATTTCCAGCGTGGCGACCGCCATCAATCAGATTCCAAAGACCCGTTCAGAAACAAAGTGTGGTGCTTCTCCAGGCTTCATCCATGATTTTTCACAGTATTATTAAACCCCCTCATGTAAAAACACCCCTTTTACAGCAGAAAATAAACATGTCATGTTAAGCACTGGGAGATTTGCATTTACTTTGGATATTAAGGATAAGAGTTATTCAAATTAGGGTGTGGCTAAGTTGACTTACAGGTTGGCACGCTGTGGTCGTTTGTCAGGAGAGTAAAGGTGCCCGTTAGCCCCGGCCAAAAGTTAGCTTAGACAGCATTTCCAATATGGCCATTGCCATCGTTTTGAATCCAATGGATGACGTCACTGAGATCACGTCCATGACTGTTAAAAGTCGACATAAAGAGCTTTCAAACTTGCAGAAATCTCCTGAAAGACTCCTGATATTTCCAGGAGGAGCTTTATATATGTGTGAACGCAAACAGCCACATTTTTCGCTCGGACTTCACCCGGAGTTTCTCCTGCCAGACCCTGGTATTTTTTTCCACAGCAAGTCTGAGTGGGCTGATGCGAGAACGCAGCAGGATATTCTCTGGAGAATTCAGCTCGAGCCAATAGGAGGGGGAGTGACGTTTCTACACCGTTACTGCTGCACAGGCTTTCTACAAGACACAGACACCACCACACATGTAAACATTTGATTTTATTCTCAACAGAATATTCCAACAAAAGGATGTAGTACAGCACGTTCAGCGTAATAAAGGAAGCAGAGGAATAATAAAAGAAAAAGACTGAATCTGGGTGGACATAAAGTGCAGGTTCAAACACTGGCTGAATCATGACTTTGTGGTGTCACAGGAAGTGCAAACTTACAACACAACCAAACACATGGAAGAACTGAGATGTTGGTGTTTAAAACAGTTTGAGTGGATGACCTTGTGAATGTGCACGACACTGAAAACGACCACTGTTACACTAAACCCTAACTCTTCTTCTTCTCTTTCGGCTCTGAAAAACGACAACCTAACGACACATTGTGGGATTTTCCTTCAGGGGTGAGGAGAATATAAAAATAAACTTTTCGTCACAGACGTAGGGATGGAGGCGGTGAATGTTGTTTTTCATGGGATACGACATAAAGGAAGGTCAAAGAAGGTAAAAAGGCTGAAAGTCGACCTAGTCTGTGCTCCATTAAATCACTTCAAAGTTCCAGCTTTATGCTTAGAAAACAAGGTAACCGAACAAAAAAAAGGTTTAAAAACGCAAATAATTGAGAAGCCTTTTATACTTGGTTATCACAGCTAAATAAAGAACACAGTGTATATTGTATAAGCGACAAATTCATTAATAATTTGACTTGACTTGAGATTTGAAGCTCCTGTGAGGAGTTTTTAGTTTGTTATAGAACAGACTGAAATTATATCAACGCCTCTGTATGAACTAGAAAAGCAAACAAGACCAATATAATCATTTTTAAAAGGTCACATATTTCCTAAAATCCACTTCACCATGTTTTTCTAACACTAACATGTGTCACTAGTCCGTCTACAAACCCCCAATGATGAGAAAAGTCCATCCTCTCCGTCTTTCGCCTGCTCCACTTTTCAGAAAATGTGTGCTCAAACAGGCTGTTTGGAGATTTTCCCTTCATGACATCACAAAGGGCAGTAACCCCTCCCCCAGGTGGGTGACACTCCCACAGCTAGGTGTTTGTTCTGTCCTCTGAGTCTGCCTTCTCACCGTAAACAATAGGACATGGAGCGAGAAAGCCCGAGTACACCCCAAGTCCTTCCAGAGAGGGGGTGTGGTCAGACACAGCTCATTTACATATTTAAAGGTACAGACACAGAAACAGCCTGTTCTGAGCAGGGCTGAAATAGAGGGGTTTATAGACATGATCAAATACAGGATCAGAGTGGATTTAGAACAAGAAACTTGACACACATGTTTTGAGGAGATCTGAGACTTATTTAAACTGGTTGAAGAGGAGGAGACCTTTAATGCCTGAAACTACTGCCGCAGGGTCAGACCAAAAGGTACGACACGTACAGGACAAAATCAGCAATGAGATTAGAGGTACCGCCTCCCACAGGGGGCGCTGAAATCAACCCTAACTTAAAGTTCCTCACAGGAGTTGTAAGTGTTTCAACAGTCTTGTAAAGATATTTCACAAGAGGCAAAATACTGGGGCTAACTTTTTAAAAAACACTTTTGACAGAATAAAAATGCTGATCAGAGCGATTATGTCACATTTTTTAAACAACACTTTCACCGACTCAGCCAGAACTAAGTCTTTGTTAGTGATAGGTCCTTGGAAGTGCAACTAATAACCTGCTGAATCATCAAACTCAAAACCTCTGGGAGATGGAAGATGGGTCACATCCTGTCTTAATAAGTATTATGAAATAATAATAAAAAAAAAGAAAAAGAGACAGTTCAGGTCTTTGAGAAAGGACTAGAGGAATTACCGTTTACAAATATTACAAAAACTATCATATGTGAGTACGTACACGCCTTGTGTTAAAGTAGGAATAGTTAACAAAATAGCTTATACAAAAACTTGGATACATGAACGTACATTTAAAGCATTGTGTGTGTGTGTGTGTGTGTGTGTGTGTGTGTGTGCTTCACTAGAATCAGTGAATAGTTTGTTTCCTTAGACATCGAGTCCTAAAGGTAGCATCTGTAAAGACTAAAGCAGAGATTTTAACACGTTTTAAAATCAACAAAACACGTCACCTAACATGTTATTAACTCATTTACTTTAAAGCAACAAACATTTTGTTTACAAATTGTTGATAAATCTGATGTTCTTTGCATTTCAGGAATATTCCCTCAATCTGCCTCGGCTTCACTTAGGGCATCCTACATTTCCCAGGATGCCTTTCACTCCTTAACACTGCCACCTGCTGCTCCAGCGAGGGAATAAAGGGCTTTCTGTGTGGCTCTTTTCTGTTGATTTTAATGATTTATGTTTGTTGAAAGTTTAAACAAATGTAGAAAAAGAAGTCCTCACTTTGATTTTAAGCACTTGACTTGAACTCCTCACACTCTGGTATTATTTAAAAAACTGATTGTACCTGGTTAGGTGAGGTTTCATTAGCTTATCTAACATGTGAAATTAACTCGTGGGAGTTTTTAAATTGTATTTATTGGTCGTTGGTTTTAAAATATATGTTCAGTCTGGAGGAGGTGTCACCAAACAGCTGATTGTTTTGGTTTCATACTGTAGCTCAAGGGCGACATCTAGTGGATTCAAACAGTCGCACATTCTTCCTTTTAACACATCGAAGCAAACAGCTTTTTGATGTGACTGTAAAGAATAATAAAAACACCAGAAAAACCATTAAAATGTGTCAAAATTGAAAGCCAATCACTTGGAACGTGACACAGACAGATCCGGTGAAGTTTCTTACCTTCTCTCTGAGATTGATAACAAAATGGGCCCTGAAATGCAAAGAACATGACCTACAGCTGCTTTTCTTTCTGCTTTAAAGGTTAAAGGTGGATCTGTCCGTTACTCTGCATAAGATGATGTTTAATCTGGAAGATCTGTGTTCAAACTGGTTTAACCGTTAAGTGAAAACACTCTGGAAGGAGAGTCAGCGAAGTGAAAGATTTAAAAAAAAAAAAAAGGGATCCATAAAGTGTCACATCTGGTGAATAAAACCGTCGTCTAACTGCAGCATTTAAAGTCATCGACCGAGCCTCTATATCTGAAGGCATCTCTGAAGTTATAAAAAAAATGTTATGTGGAAGGTAAAATGTCACATTTAGAGTGAAAGCAAAATACATTTAAAGGAAGAAGCGTCGCAAAAGCATCAGATACTTGCTGGTGTTGTGAAGCGTCTTCTGCTGCTCAGCTGTCAGGAACATTAAACGCCCTGATTCAATCAGAGACAAACTTTGACAAAATGTAAAATGAGATCTTCAGCATCATTGTAGTAAACAGGTACAAAGTACTGGTTAAAGAGGTAATAAAGTGTTTCTCATTTGTATAAACGTTTCTTGCTGAGATTACCGTAATAAAAAAATGTCATCGAGAGGCCGAGAGATCAGACGGAAAACGCAGAATCAGAGCTGGCGTTAATAAAAGCAAAACTCTACCGAAAAACCCCCCCGGAGAGACGGGGGTACGAACACTTGGGTGTGTGCTGCCTGGAGGGTCAGTTCAGAAGGCCGTCTGCAGGTCACAGGTCACGAGCTTCATACAGGAGTTTGGCCGCCTGCGGGGAAAAACACAAACATGAAGAATAGATCAAATAAACAGTCAGCCAGATGTTTGGCACTATCAGGACTGTTATCCTAAAAACACACACAAGGGGCGGCTGTGTCAGTCGGTCGTCTGTCAACTGAAAGGTTGAGGGTTCGATCCTGCAGCCACATGCCCGATGTGTCCGTCGGCAAGACACTTAACCCCGAATTGCTCCATCTGCTTCGTCAGCGGTGTATGAATGGGATTAGTTACTTCTGATGGACTCTTTACTCAGCAGCCTCTACCGTCAGTGTGTGAATGTGTAGGAGTGAATGTGTAGGTGTGAATGTGTAGGTGTGAATGTGTAGGAGTGAATGTGTAGGTGTGAATGTGTAGGAGTGAATGTGTAGGTGTGAATGTGTAGGAGGTGTGAATGTGTAGGTGTGAATGTGTAGGAGTGAATGTGTAGGAGGTGTGAATGTGTAGGTGTGATGTGTAGGTGTGAATGTGTAGGTGTGAATGTGTAGGAGTGAATGTGTAGGTGTGAATGTGTAGGTGTGAATGTGTAGGAGGTGTGAATGTGTAGGTGTGAATGTGTAGGAGGTGTGAATGTGTAGGAGTGAATGTGTAGGAGGTGTGAATGTGTAGGTGTGAATGTGTAGGAGTGAATGTGTAGAGGTGTGAATGTGTAGGTGTGAATGTGTAGGAGTGAATGTGTAGGTGTGAATGTGTAGGAGGTGGAATGTGTAGGTGTGAATGTTAGGTGTGAATGTGTAGGAGGTGTGAATGTGTAGGTGTGAATGTGTAGGAGTGAATGTTAGAGGTGTGAATGTGTAGGTGTGAATGTGTAGGTGTGAATGTGTAGGAGTGAATGTGTAGGTGTGAATGTGTAGGTGTGAATGTGTAGGTGTGAATGTGTAGGAGTGAATGTGTAGGTGTGAATGTGTAGGAGTGAATGTGTAGGAGTGAATGTGTAGGTGGTGAATGTGTAGGTGTGAATGTGTAGGAGTGAATGTGTAGGTGTGAATGTGTAGGAGTGAATGTGTAGGTGTGAATGTGTAGGTGTGAATGTGTAGGAGTGAATGTGTAGGTGTGAATGTGTAGGAGGTGTGAATGTGTAGGTGTGAATGTGTAGGAGGTGTGAATGTGTAGGAGGTGTGAATGTGTAGGTGTGAATGTGTAGGAGGTGTGAATGTGTAGGTGTGAATGTGTAGGTGTGAATGTGTAGGAGGTGTGAATGTGTAGGGTGTGAATGTGTAGGAGTGAATGTGTAGGTGTGAATGTGTAGAGTGAATGTGTAGGTGTGAATGTGTAGGTGTGAATGTGTAGGAGTGAATGTGTAGGTGTGAATGTGTAGGAGTGAATGTGTAGGTGTGAATGTGTAGGTGTGAATGTGTAGGAGTGAATGTGTAGGTGTGAATGTGTAGGTGTGAATGTGTAGGTGTGAATGTGTAGGAGTGAATGTGTAGGTGTGAATGTGTAGGTGAGAATGTGTAGGAGGTGTGAATGTGTAGGAGTGAATGTGTAGGTGTGAATGTGTAGGTGAGAATGTGTAGGAGGTGTGAATGTGTAGGTGTGAATGTGTAGGAGGTGTGAATGTGTAGGTGTGAATGTGTAGGAGTGAATGTGTAGGTGTGAATGTGTAGGTGTGAATGTGTAGGAGGTGTGAATGTGTAGGTGTGAATGTGTAGGTGTGAATGTGTAGGAGGTGTGAATGTGTAGGTGTGAATGTGTAGGAGTGAATGTGTAGGTGTGAATGTGTAGGTGTGAATGTGTAGGTGTGAATGTGTAGGTGTGAATGTGTAGGAGGTGTGAATGTGTAGGTGTGAATGTGTAGGAGGTGTGAATGTGTAGGTGAGAATGTGTAGGAGTGAATGTGTAGGTGTGAATGTGTAGGTGTGAATGTGTAGGAGGTGTGAATGTGTAGGTGTGAATGTGTAGGAGGTGTGAATGTGTAGGTGTGAATGTGTAGGTGTGAATGTGTAGGAGGTGTGAATGTGTAGGTGTGAATGTGTAGGTGTGAATGTGTAGGAGGTGTGAATGTGTAGGTGTGAATGTGTAGGTGTGAATGTGTAGGTGTGAATGTGTAGGTGTGAATGTGTAGGTGTGAATGTGTAGGAGGTGTGAATGTGTAGGTGTGAATGTGTAGGAGGTGTGAATGTGTAGTTGTGACCTGCGGTGTAAAAGCGTTTTGAGAAGCGCTCTACAAGGTCAAGTCGTGCGACACGTCGTACCTTGTGCATCGCAGCTAACCATAACGAGGCCACCTTCTTGTCGTCTGCTGCCTCCATGCGGAGCTGCTCAGCATCCTGGGAGCCCATCGGTTTGTAGTGAAGCAGCATGCCGCTGGCCCGCGACGAGCTTCCTGCAACACACACACACACACACACACACACACACACACACACACACACACACACACACACACACACACACACACACACACACACACACACACACACACACACACACACACACACACACAACACACACACACACACACACACACACACACACACACACACACACACACACACACACACACACACACACACACACACACACACACACACACACACAGAGAGAGAAGAGGACTGAAACAGAAGACTAATGGATTCAGTTCTATTGTTCTACTTGTCTATTTTCTCAAAGCGGTTTAACACTTTATGAAACGTGTAAAAAGCGGCGAGCAAAACAAGGTTATTATCGAGCAGTAATATTCACTTCCTCGTTAATTTAATGGGATAACGGAGGAGGGGAATAAGAATGTGCTACACCTACATGGCGTTTTATACAACGGTGTATTTGATTCATTTGACAAGATATTTGAGTTTGGTTTTTTTTCTATGTGAAACTTCTGGGATAAAGTTCCTGCTTATGCCTCTGAAAAGTACAGCCTCAAAAACATGAGTCAAGTCATTCAGAAGTGATCACTGCATGCAGGAGATACACAGATGAGACAACAAAGAGATGTCAGGGGGAGAAAGTCACAGATACACAACAAACAGACAAGACAAGAAAAAAAGAAAACTGAGGATGAAAGGAAATGTTTGAACTTTAAAGTCAAAGTGAACAAAAATCTCAGAGCGCCGCATTACTTCACTTTGATGAGTTTACGTTACATAATTAAATGTCATACACGAACACCTGACTGACACAAAGACACTCTTCTTTACCTTTTTACTTTATATCTATTATTACTGTGATAATAAACAGGAAGTCAAACGGTAGAAAAAAAAAAGAGATTTTGAAATTGTCTGTTTTATGTTGTAACAGATATGCTTCTTGGTTTCAAGCTGGATTCATCTGCGCTGCAGCGTGTTGACATGATTCAGACCGCAAGCCCTGTGATTGGTCTACATGTTCCTCTCCTGACTTGCAACTCGTGACCTAGCAGCCGGAGCTAACAATGCTTTTCAGGCCGCTTCATGCACTAACACAATAAAACACAGAGACATCAGGTCGAGAGAAAATGGAGGAGGTTGGAGTGACGATGATGAAGAACGAAACAGCAGCACAGTGAACCACAGCTAACCTTCAGAGATAAAGGGACTGTCCAGCAGACTGGTGTAAGTGTGAATGTCGTTCTCTGAGCCCAGAAGAAGAAAAACAAGAAGAAGAGTCCAGAGTCAAAGCAGCAGCAGAGGAGAAACAGTGCGTTAGTGTTTGATATGAAAAAGAGGACAGGCTGAGAATTTTTACATCGAGGTAGACGCAGTTATCTTGATCGTTTTTAATACGACAGAAAAGAAGAAATACGTTTAATATCTGCTTCGTCATCGTAGTCACATTACCTCCTGGACTCGACCCGTCCGTCAGAATCTGCATGCTGGAGATTCGAGAGAACTCCACCTCAAAGTGGCTCTCCCCATCCAGGAACAGATACCTGATGTTTGGAGAGAAACACAACCAAGAAGAAGTAGATCAAAAACAGGAAAATTAACAACAACAACAGTTCAACTTATAACACAACTGAGAATGTTTTTTATTTAACCTTTATTGTAACTAGGTTGGTCCCATTGACATTAAGAACCTGTTTTTCAAAGGAGAGCTGGCCAAGACAGTCAGCAGCAAACACCAAGTTACAGACGGAGACACAAAGGGAGACAAAGTACAATTCACAAACACTCAAATTAACTTGAAGAGAGAACGACGAGTTAAAAAAACAAGCTGAAAACATCGACACCCTGTAGGATCCTCTTCCAAGTTTTTTACTTCAGATTTAAAAACTTTTAAAAATGTGCAATTAGTGAGATGTGTAGCGAGTGAAATGATAAAGGTATCTTACTATCTGATCAGACATTAAGGAAACATGCTATGTTGAAGTGCTGGCTTCTCTGACAACAATGCAGCAGCCAGTATGTCCTCCTTCTAACTTTAGATTCTGCTCCTGAATGCTCTGGATTTGTTTGGACCAGAGAAGGTAGACCCTTTTAAGGTGCCCCCAGATTGCCGTTTTGGACGCCCCTCGGTTTGTCAGATATGAGAGCAGTTATCAGGTCAACAGGTGTTGCAGCGATGGAAGCGGGCAAGAGAAGTGGTTCAGATAGAAGTGATTGTACCCGACCTAAAAAGCCTCTGCATGTTTCTAATAAGCTCCACGAGCAGAAACGTGCTCAAACTAGGATCAATATTGGAGATGCTTTTGAAAAATGGAGAGAGGTTAGAACACAGAAAGGTTTACAGACCCATGCAGAGCTGGATAAACACTGAAGCTTCAGAGTCCACCACATGGTGACCTGAGTGAGCATCCACTCTAGAGGAGGGGGGGGGGGACAGCTCTTACAATGTTTTGAATTTGGACTGCAGTACCCATTTTAAACACTAGGTGTCAGAGTTACATACTGCTCCATTAACGACTCCAGCAACAAATTCCAAGCGGATGGTGCAGATGAGATGTTTTAACTTATTATGTCAATCAGGCTATGAAACTAAACAAATACTGAATTAAGAAAAGTTCACCTGTGGTTGTTGGAAAGGCGACACATCATGGTGTCAGACTTCTCCGACGTTCCCAAAGTGACCACGAAGGAACCGCCTGGAAACATTGAATGTGATAAAAGACAAAAAGGAGGAACATTAAACTCTGTAAACATCAGTAACAAAGAAATAGAAGTATGAGCTTGATTTAATCCCCAAAGTAAGGATGATTTTGATTTTGGCTTTAAATGTCACAGAGAGAGATTCAGTGACTGCTCTGTGTGTTTCGTCTCTTTGTTAACTGTTGAGGCCCCAACATGCTGCGGGCTCTCCATTCAGAAGCTCCGAGCTGCTGATGGATTTTTCATTGAGAGGCGGCCCGGCTGCTGCTGCTTATTTATAGCTTCACACTGACCTCGACACTCTACAACAACACACAGATTATCAGGGCATGGAGGAGGAGTATAGGGGGGCAGTGCTGGATTATATCTCTGATGATTGTTACAGTATTTCTGCTTCCTGTACAGTGGCGGGGAACAGCGTCATGAAGCCACAAAGTAAGATGACAAACACGTTTAGGATGAAGACTAAGTTACAAAATGACAAAAAGCAGAAGCTGAACTAAATGACTGGATGAATTGATAAATGAAGAAGCTCATTTTTTTTAACAAAATCCTTTAAAAAAAGGTTTAAAAAAAAAAAAAACACATATGAAAACTGAAGTAACCCTGGACTTGTTTTTCAGCACAGATGTGAGATGTAGAGCAGCAGTTCCCAAACTTTTTCCATTATTGTCATAATCGAGCAGCCCGACCTCAAACCACAGGAACATCTGGTGAGATAAACTTCAGAAACATAAAAATCTGGACTTCACTTTAAATTGCTGGAAGAGGGGGAACCGGGCCCAAAATCGGCCTGATTACTTTGTAGTGTGTCGCCTGCATTAAATCTTGTGAATGTGAAGTACTCTCGCCCCGAAGCGTTGTATGTCTGATCCCAAAATTGACTTCATACAGGTTTTAACAGAAAAAGGAATTTTGGAGCAAAAGTAGAAAATCAATCCTAAAAAAACAAACTCTTTTGCTACTTCATGATCATGAATCGAGGCCGGACTTCTCACCTGCCAAAAGCACTTTGAGCTGTTTTTCGTAGAACTCCATCTCTTTCTGGGAGACCAGGCTGCACTCTGCACACTGACGCACCGGATCCACAAAGCACATCCGCGGCAGCACCACCTTCTTACTGCAGCATTTATCACAGAAACACCGCCCGCACCGCCGACAGTGATGCTGCGGGGACAACGAGAATCAATCGTCAAAGGTTTCGCATTCAAACAAAAACTGTTCAACAACATTTTATTTAGAGAATCATGTGTTTCTGTGGTATTGAAACAGTCATCAATATCTTTTTACTTCAGTCGTATCTGTTCTCATGAAAACCCAACGCCCTAATAATCCCAAATAGCTAGCAGAGAGTAAAAAGGAATACCAAATAAAAGCTCTGGAGGTTTCTAATTTCTGATCAATAAAAAACAAACAACTGGAGAATGCAGCGATGATGATGACGGCTGAGAAAAGGTTTTACTACACTGTGCAAAAAAACTGGGACACAGAGCTGCAGTGTTGTGTGTTCAGTCATCACTGGAAACAAATGCCTCCACAGAGTCCTCAGTGCGTCTCTTGGCCAAAATAAATGAACAGAAGCCAAGAGGAGAAGAAATAGTCATCGAGGTTTCACAACACAGGCGGAGTAAAGAGACTCTTCACTTTTCTTCGTCTCTCTCTCTTGTTTTTTTTGTTTTTTTTTCCAAACCTGAGATAACGCTGTGATTTGTGTTGCAGAACAAAACAAACCTTTCTTCTGATGAAGTCGAACTTGGTGTCACACTGCATACATCTCGGGCACTGAAGGACAAGAGAGGAAGAGAAAAAGAAAAAACAGGATGTTACACAACATGCTGAGCTAGGCGGATTCAGGTTCAACAGACAAATATGGAGCAGAGGGCGCTGACCTTTCAGATTTGAACTCGGTCCCGACTCCCTATCCCTATACAGGAAGCGTGTGTTGTTTTAGAAACTATGACTCTTCAAACCCTTTCCTGACCAACAGACCTAACCTAAAGATGTTTGTGTTGGTATCACAGGTGAGAGGAAAAACAACAAATCTTCACATTATGAAGTCAAACCGAGCTCATTTCTGTCTTTCAAAAGGATTTGATGATTAATAGATTTTATAACAGCTGCAGATAAGTTTCTACATTCAGATACGAGTACTTAGGGTTAACACTGGTAGTTTTAATTTTCTAGGAAACTTCATAATAATCATTATCAAACATATTTCATTGAATGTTCCTTAGTGTTGTCCATGATGTTTCTGACTCTGCTGTTTGAGGTTTTTTCTGGCCTACTGAGTTTCCTGACTTGTTTTCTGTGTAAGCACTTCATTAATAATAATGAAGAAAACATAAAAAAAAACCTTCAATGCGCCAATAATAATATAAAGGTCACATATTATCCTCCTTTTCAACAACTTTAAATAAGTCTCGAAGATCCCCAAAACAAGTTTCTAAATCCACTCTGATCCTGTATTTGATCATGTCTATAAACCCCTCTATTTCAGCCCTGCTCAGAACAGGCTGTTTCTGTGTCTGTACCTTTAAATATGTAAATGAGCTGTGTCTGACCACGCCCCCTCTCTGGAAGGGCTTGAGGTGTACTCGGTGCTTTCTCGCTCCATGTCCTATTGTTTACGATGAGAAGGCCGACTCAGAGGACAGAACAAACACCTAGCTGTGGGAGTGTCACCCACCTGGGGGAGGGGCTACTGCCCTTTGTGATGTCATGAAGGGGAAATCTCCAAACAGCCTGTTTGAGCACACATTTTCTGAAAAGTGGAGCAGGTAAAAGACGGAGAGGATGGACTTTTCTCATCATTGGGGGGTTTGTAGACTAGAGACACATGTTAGAGTTAGAGAAACATGGTGAAGTGGATTTTGCATCATATGTGACCTTACCCTTTAACACTTGTCTTTAATGTGCATGCAACTTCTCTCACTGCCTTAAGTCTTTGGATGCCGTTTACATTGGAGCATTGACGTTCATAACAAATCTCAAGGCTCTCACTCATCATTGAATTTATGATCGAGTATGTTGGCCTGCATCGTCTACTCATAGACAAAATCATTGTCATGTCATTTAAATAAGGCTACACTTAATCTGCTTCCATCATAGTTGTGTAATTGTACTCATGTCTGCGCTTGTCACAAAATGCATTCTTGCTATTTGACCATCAAAGGAGTTTCAGGAATGCTGCTCCTGCAGCCTGGAATCTGCTGCAGGAGGATTTGTGTCTGGGGGAAGCTGGTCTCTTTAAATCACTGGTGTCCAAACTTTTTTTTCTTGCGGGCCAAAATTGTCGTGTTAGAATCGCTCACAGGCCACAGCTTTTGTTTTTTAAAATATAGTTTTAAAAATAGGAAGGCTTTGTAGGTCAGAATCAAAAGGCTCGCTAAAGAAACCCTTTAATAAAAGGAACTCAAATATTTTGATTTCTTCGTTCTACTTTATTTGTTTTTTTCTCAGAATCAAACCTGTAACGTGGTTCATGTAGCTCAGGTCATTAAATGGTTAAACAACAGTCCGCTTGTTTGCAAAAACTTTGCATGAGTTTGTTTTCATAGTTTACAAAAAAATGTGGAAAATAGTAAAAGCTGTAGATTTAAAAACAACAACAACAACATACATGTTACTGAACATTTTCTATTTTAGGAATATTGTTCAGCCCTTGTTAACATGAAAAAGAAAAATAAGATAATGTGCCAATCAGCCCCAAAATCTTCTGATTCTTCATTTGAAGTCACGGACCGCAAAAATTCCCCTCAAGGGCCGCAAATGGCCCTCGGGCCGCATTTGGACACCCCAGCTTTAAATGATTTTAAAAGTAGATTGAAGGCATCGAGGAAGACGCATCTGGTCGTAGATGATTTGACTTTTGACCTTTCTGACTCGGGTTATGTTGATCTGAGCTTCATGTCTGGAACTTGTTAAACGTTCTGCGGCTCGTCTTGTCCGGGACACTAAACGAAAATTAGATTTTTAGTTTTCCTGGTTAAATGAAAGTGTCCACTGATCGTCCATGTTTATAAAATACAGATTAATCCAACA